TTCGACAATTGGTTCAAACGCATGCAAAAGTGTATAGATCTTCATGGGGAATATTTTGAAAAACAATAAAGTGATTTTCGATTATTAATATTTGTTTTTGTTCTCTTATCCCGAAATATAAAAGTCAACCCTCATAGTTCAAGCGTTGAGTTGAAAATAAGGGGGTCTATTCACAAAAAAGTCGGGAGGCAATTAAATTTGGTGGGATGATAGACGTAGGTTCCCTGATGATACACCTGGGTTTGTGACCTCTGGGGGTTGCCACACGAAGGTTGGGGGATGAGAACTCTGCATCGCGATACTTTAAGAGGAAATTGAGCTTTATTGTGAGTCCTATCGATAAGAACCAAACATACAACGCCGAGTTTGGCAGATAAACCCAAATAGGTATCATCGACTGTGGACTAGGCTTCTTGGGAATACCACGCCCCGACCAACTCTACCTCAAGGGTGGTGAATACTTTTCTGTATCTTGTATACACAAAAATAATAAATGTTTATATCGGAGTATGTAACAGCGCGCTTCAAAACATCATAGCATTTATTATATAGGGCCAAATATATCAAAATATATCAAATCGGACATCTGCAGATTCAGAAATCATTACTCTTTCAGAAAACATAGAAACATAATTGTTTCACAGCGCTGAAATTCTCATATTGTTGAACATTGCAAATTAACCCCCAACTTTGAGGCATCCTAGAGCGTAAACTGTTGGTTGTAAACAAAAAATTATGGAAGATTTCATCCTGTGCATATTTTATTCGAACTTTTTTCTGATAGGATTCACCACAAAGCTCAATTTCCTCTCAAGGTATCGCGATGCAGAGTTTTCATCCACCCACCCCTCGAGCGGCAACCCCCTGAGGTCGCAAACTCTGGTATACTATCAAGGGATGTATATCTACCATTCCACCAAATTTAATTTCCTCCTGACCTTTTGCGGATAGAAACTACCCATCTCTTGGTGGGTAGTTTCTACCGCAGTGATATAAAAATTTGCAAGTGATGCATTAACATGGAAATAAAGCCAACCGATTTTTTCAAGTCTCAACCAACCAGACCCCCGAAATTCAACAAAAATTTTGCCAAAATTGAGAGTTTCATAGACTTGTATTCGATCAGGGCCATAATTAATGTCACCATAAGAGAGTTCAGATGATAATGATGTTTTACAATGTTAACTATTGGACGATTGAACTTTTCCTCATTGCATCATCAGACCAGGACGGATTCATCATTGAAAGAGATCAACTATGAAACAAAATGTGTCATCAACCTGTATATTATTTGAACAATTTTTTCAAATCGAAATAGACTGACAATAGTAATCGACACACAATCAATTCTTTTCATGTATTTCGAAGTATACTCTGTTTACTTACCTTCCTTTGAAATTATGGCACAAGTGGAAAAACTGATGAAAATATTTGTGTTCACCTACTTATATACTGATTCATCCACTTGNTATGCCGCAACATGATATCAAGTCTTCCTCTGAAACAAATATTTGCTTTTCTCCATTCGAGTGAATGCAAATCCTGTCACTCATTGCGGAAGTTGCTGCAACAGCCTGCAAAATTAATTGATAAAATTTAGTGATTGCATTCGTATTGAATGAATGAAATCAGTTGGGATTTCATCAAATTGTTTTAGTAGAGCGTTTGTGTGTAAACAAGCATGCTGCATTGATTATGAGCTCCTTTATTATACCTCAGAGCTGAAAGGACCAGGACATCTCATACTCCAAGAATACATCAGTCGAAGAAGTTTGAGAATGACACGAAGCGAAGAAAGAAACAATTGTAACTTATTCAGTTTTTTTAATTTCAAGGAGAGTAGTAGAATTAGGTTTCAGAAACGGTTAGATAAGTATCTGTATGATTTTTGATGTGAAACATCTTTATGCGCTCTTGACTTGGGAAGTGAGCCGATGAATAAGTTGTAGAACAGGAAATTGAAAATGTTCAATCAAGCAGTGTGAAGTTGAGAATTTGTTATTTATGAACTATTCAGTGAATGAGTATAAACTTCAATGCACAAATGTACTGTTTGGAACCTTTGGTGTAGTGATTAATATAACTGCAGTTTTATCCCAACGACAAACCATTATTTCAACACCTCGACCCGTCTTTCGATCATCAAGTGATCATCTAAAAGGAAGGGTTTTTTTCTTGTTGTAAAATTGCTCCCGTTCAACCATGAAAAATCTTCAGAATAAATATAGACCAGTCGCTTCGCTATCAGTGATATAAAAAATCATGAAGAAAGCCGTAAATACTCAAAGGGCTTCAGCATCTTGAGCAATTATGAATATGGCTTCCGAAACAAAAATCAACAGGCGACCTACCGTATGTCACCCATATTTATAATGACGCCATCGACAAACATGAAGACTCAAGAGCTATTGTGCTTGATATTTCTAAGTCCCTTGTGTGCGGCATGAGGGTTTGCTGGCAAAACATCAATTCCTATGACTTGCCGGATGATTTTCGTGCATGACTCTCCAGATTCCTAAAAGAACGTTTCCTGCAAGTGGCCGTCGATGATTCTGTATCTGAAGAGTAGTGAGGGTGAGTGTAGGCCCACAGCATTTAGGCCACATGTGACCCATTGTACATCCTCCCGAAGAGTTGTCCTCCTAAGTCATCGTCCATCCTGTCCTTTTCAGGAAGGTGGACAGGTCTCTGGGAGGCATCTCCTTTATATCGGCCAAGACGGTGTAGGCCAAGACTCGCCGAACACACACTCTCTTATTGTCGATAACTCCGGACATTCGCATAGGATATGCTTGACAGTTTCATCTTCCTGTTCACACATCCTGCATAGAGGTGTGTCCACTAGCCCCATATTGTGGGGGTTTTTCCTTAGTTGACAGTAGCCAGTCAGAAATCCTACCGTAAATTTTCCTAACATAAATCCTAAATCCTAGCGTAAATTTTCCCTGGTCATCGCCAGATATGTCTTCGACGACAGCTTCCTAGGGTCGCCAAGGATGATCCTGGCAAGATTGCATCCTTTGATTTCATCCCATCTGTTTAGGGATTGAGAATGGGTGTGATGTTTGGCTAGATCCGCAATTGTCGAAGTCATCAGGCCGTAGGTGCCACTGGGTCTTAAAATTCTTAGTCCAGCCGCTTCCTTGGCTAAAGAGTCGGCAATGCGATCACCTTCACTCCTGTCGTACCCTTCAATCCACTTCAGGATAATGTTATCATCTACCGAAGCTTTGGCTAAATCTTACTGGCACTCTAGTACTAGCCCTTAGGTAACACGTTGTCTGTTCAAGAATAATAGGTCTTGTCTGCTATCAGTGCAGATTGTTATGTTTTTGCCAGAAATTCGTTTCCTGGTTATTTCTTTCGTGACGATTGAGATACCAGCCAGTGCTGTTTGAACCACGCTGTTATTTTTTCCCGTCGATGGATATCTCTGGAACACTTCAACCATCAACGCTGGTTTTCCCAAGGGATCCATATTGTCTACAACCCTTTTTTCATTGTATATCAATGACTCATTGAAAAAGAATCAAATATATTGCTGACGTCATTCCATTTGCATTCCAGGACATCGGCAGCAGATGCACATCTTTACCGGCAGCAGGAAGTTGCATACCTTTATGAGGATCTAGAGGTGGTACCGAATAGGAGTTAAAGTACCTACGTTCAATTCAATGCCACGAAAATCCAGGCATTGGTTCTCGCCAGAAAAATAAATGTCTCCAAACCGGATATATTAATATCAGGATAGACGAATCCACTTTCTGCTTTGATGAGTTTGTCTGGGGTTGAAATAGACACCAATATGTATTCGCACAATCATGTCGCTGGAATTGCAAAAGCTGTTTCTCAAAAGCTTGAAACACTGTTCCGAAACAAAAAACTGTACACACCTCAGCCACTTTTGATGTTGTATAAAGCTCAGATCAGATCTTCATTGGGGTTTTGTTCTCATGTATGGAGCTCTGATCCTAAGCATACTCTCATTCTGCTGGATTCCAGCCAGAAAAGAGCCATTCGCCTGATTGGAGACGCGAACATCACTTGCAACCTTGATAGTCTAGAACAGGGGTCTCCAAACTTTGAAGCCTTCGGGCCATAATGATTTTTTCAGTTTGTTCCAAGGGCCAATTTCTGCCCTTACCTATATTTCTAAACTAGGATAGTCGCAAAGTGCGTGATCTAAGCAAACTTACGCTTTTTTGAATTTTAATTATTATTGTGTATTGTGGCACTTAACGACATCTAATGGCGAGTAGTAATGTACTATCTTTTTCAACTACCCGCTAGGTGGCACTAGGGGTATTTAAATATTTTGAATCACCGCATTGGTTCGAGAAAGTTCTGGTTTTAGCTAGTGTATTCCGATCACTTCGAGATGACAGTAATAATTGCATATAAAAAGGGTAGCGGCGCAACTGCGAGTTAGTCTGCGTAGGAAAGGCGAAGGAAGCGAAACTGTCTATTGTGAAATAAAGTAACACTTGTCACTTGACTTATTGTTTTTATGTGTGGTTTGTTAGCATGGAAAAGAAGCGAAAAATCGACAGTGAATGCAGAACGTTCCAAGAAAAATGGAACTTTCAGTATTTTGTGATTGAGTCCAGTAATAAGGCGCTATGTTTAATTTGTAATGAAACCATAGCTGTTCTCAAAGACTATAACAATAAACGACACTATGAATCGAAACATCTCCAAAGTTACTCCAAGTATACAGGAAGTTTGCGGAAGGAAAAATTTGAAGCTTTGAAACGCGGACTCAAATCGCAGAAATCTTTGTTTACCAAAGCGAATACTGAACTGCAACTCGCGCCAGCTTTCGTGTGGCTCTTGAAATCGGAAAACGTGACAAACCATTCATCGATGGAGAAATGATAAAAGAATGCTTGATTGCAGTAGGCGAAGAAATATGCCCCGAAAAGGTAAAGTTATTTAAAAGTGTCAGTTTGTCAGCAAAATGATTTATCATATCATACTGCCGTACGCTGGCTTAGTTGCGGAAAAGTCCTTGAGCGTTTTTTTGACCTTCGAGCAGAGATCGAAAATTTTGTTAAATGCGAAGCAGCATCCTTTTGCCGATTTAGAACATAGTGAATGGATGTAGAAGTTAGCCTTCTATGTCGATTTGACAAATCATATGAACGAACTGAATTTGAGATTGCAAGGAGAAAATCAGCTTCTCCCTGATTTATACACCAATATCAAATCCTTCAGGCAGAAAATAATACTATTTCAATCGCAATTACGTAAAAAATGTTTCACACATTTTGAAACATGTGAAATATTCAGCCACACTACAGAGACTGAATTTCCCGTCAATTTTGCAATCGAAACTTTGAGTGCTCTGAAGATAAATTTTGATACTCGTTTTTCAGATTTTGATTTCAGCTTTTTCAAATTCCTTTTGATTCTGACATTGAAACCCTGGCTCCGGAAGTCCAAATGGAAATTATTGATTTACTATGCAGTGATATGCTTAAGAACAAATATCAAAATTCATCTTTGTTGGAATTTTATAAGAGTCTTCCACTGGAACAATTTGATAATTTGCATAAATTTGCTCGTGGGTTGTTTTCTGTTTTTGGTACTACTTACTTGTGTGAGAAAACGTTTTCCAAGATGAAGTACACAAAGAATGTTTACAGATCTCAATTAACCGATGAACATCTTAAATCTCTTTTGATAATTGGTACAAGTAAAACTGATCCACAACTACAAAGTATCGTCGGTGGAAAATCACAATTACATTAATCTCATTAGTGTTTTTGTTTTGCTGTGATTCATTTCAATTATTTCTTAGTTAATAATATGCTTAAACTTAGATACTTAAGTTAAGTTTTCTTTGTCATCATTTCTTGCAAGTAAATAAAACCGATTAATTATCAATCTGTGTTTTCTTCTTCAACTTATCACAGCAATAGTAACAACAATTAGGTAATCATTGGCTGTCGCGGGCCAGATTGATGACAGTGAATCATTTGCTATCGCGGGCCGGATTGATGACACTGGCGGGCCGGATTTGGCCCGCAGGCCGTAGTTTGGAGACCCCTGGTCTAGAACATGGAAGAAAGGTTGGAGATTTGTTATTCTTTCATAGATACTTTCACGGGAGGTGTTCAAATGACTTGGCACATCAGATTCCACTAAGAGCGGTAGATATCATAAATATGCGACAGATTTTAACTGCGCATTGTTTTGAGGTTCTATGTGGAATAAACTTCCTGAGAACGTTTTTCAAAACGAATTTGATCTTCAGCGATTCAAATCTAACGTGATTCGCTACTTTCAAATAGGCACGGCTCTCAGAGCATCTCGAGGATTTTCCTGTGGTGCTGTTCCAACAAAAAAAAACAATGGAAAATATAACTCTATCAGTGAAATAAACAGCCTATATTTCTCCATCCCCTCAAAATTCATCCACATATTAGTTTACTGAAAAATCGTCAGCATTCCAAGAATTAGAGCTATCAAAATATCTATGTTTGAAGTAGAGAGCGTTAGAAAAATATTTCAAGGACCTCTGCGAGAGGCTTGAAACCAGATGATAACATACCGAAAAATACCCGAAATCAAAATACGTAAGATATTATATACGAGTAGTATTATAAACTCTTACCCAGCATGAACCACATGCAGACTGATCCCTGATGACGTTGATAATTTCGCATTTGGACCACTGTTCCCGGGCATCGAAGGATTCTGGAATTGGGGTGTCTTCGCTGTGGACAACGACGTCATTCATTGATCTGGGTTCGGGGGATTCAAGGGCACCAAGCAAACTACGAATGTGAGACAGTGGAGTGTCTTTGTCAAAATTCCTGCCAGCTTTCCATGAGCTTTGTTGGCTGTTGATGTAGTTTATGAATTCATCGGAAAATGGATTTGAGTCAATACCGTAGGAGAGAGCTCCCGAAACGGCAATAACTACAAAACAGAAGGCTATCCTCATCTTGGGTATTCCTGTGAGTGATTTTATAATTCAAATATTAGATGTGTTGCAATTAACTTATGGAAGTAAGATTATATTTGGAATCGAGATTCAAACAGAAACTTGACCCCACCTGTTACTCAGAAAGAGATGTAGCTACCGTTCACTTATTCTGATGGCATAGGAAGTTTTGTGATACATCTCTCTATCAAGTTTGAGTTGATAGGAAAGTAATCTTGGCATTTCTTATACCTGCATGATACAATCGTTTGTAATGTTGAAGAGAATCAGTACTGCCATGAATCTACTATTGAGAGTCTATGAATATTTGAATTGAAGGGGTTTTATTTTTAGGAGTGATTAATTTTTGGGAAAGAAAGTTTTTGGCTTTTTGGCTACTCCATCTTGATATATGAATATCATCCTCAATTGCTGGTGGAAAGCTTTGTT